GGTGACGCAGCGTTGCTAAATATAACCTAACATGGAATTTGTCGTACATTTATTTTCAACAAAATTCATTATAAATGTCAATATAATATTGGTTTGCGTTTATTTATTATGTTATATTACTTGTTTTAGTGATTTTACTTCATTACAAATAGATTTTAATTGTATCTTCATAGTAAAAAAGTACATACACAGCGCAGGACTGTAGCGTGAATATCACAATTATTTCTATATATTACTCGAAATTATTTATATTAGAAGATAAATTGTATTTACACAAAAACTTTTATAACAAATACTATACTCAACACTAATAACACACTAAAAAATCCAAAAATCAACACAATAACACGCCACAACTAACAGGCGTAAGAAATTATACAAAGTAGTCTCCCAAGCTATCACGGTCACGTTTAAATTCAGCTGTGCAGAGCACGTTTCATTTGAGCAGAGCCCGTACACAGAGTCCAACTCATTTTTGAGTTGTTTAGGCGTATGGCCTTTCAAAAATAAATTTTAATGACAGCTCTATACTCAATTTTTTTCATTTTCACAAATATTCACATTGACTCACACAAACGGCTGTTAAAAAACGACTACGTGTCGGCTATTAAAAAACTGTCAAAAGACGCATAACTACATACTAGCTTTTATTGACCAATGCTGCAATGAAGATGGGACGATAAGGTCGGAAACTTTTCAGACTATCCTGGTATTTAAAAAAATATGTTCGAAGGCACACAAAAATTTAAATTTTACGTGTGTAAACGTTTACGATTAATTGGACGGTTCCGTGGCGCTGTTGTTTTTATTGCAATAAAATAAAATAAAGCAATTAGTTGTAGTGCTAAAACCCGCGGGTTTAAATTCTGCACAGGTTACGTATTTGTAGGGTATACAAATACTTGATCTAAGTCTGGATGTTTATTCTTGTGAATTGTATGTACTCCTTTGTAAACTGGCTCCACGAAAGAGAAAACCCTAGGGTGGAGGTAACTTTTTAAATTATTTAAATTGATGACATTTCGGATATTAGATAGTTAGATTTGTGTTCCACATTTATAAAATGTCTTTTTCGCTTGCAAAAAAGTTGGGAAATATTAAAAAATTATTTCCAAAATGGTGATGTCTTTTACTTAAACTTAAGAGGTGCCAAAAACATAGTATGTGGATCAATTTGTCAAGCGAGTTCGTGAAACTGGATCGTTGTTGGAAGAAAAACCCGTGTACCTACTCGTCCAGTGCGTTTAACTGAAAAAATCGTTGCTGTTTCTCAGTATTCGTAAACAAATATCTACATCAACTTGTCATTGTTCTCAAGAATGGAACGTTTTTAATGCACTTATTTGAGAAGAATTTTGGATAAAGATCTCAGTGTGAATATGTAGAAAGTTCAATTAGAGCAAGAGCTGAAGCCACATGAACAAGTGATGCGTTTTCAGTTCTCAATTGAACAAAGACCGCTTGATAAAAGATGAGCATTTTTACCGAAAAATCATCTCTTTTGATAAGGCTCCTTTCCTCCTCAGAGGATACGTGAATAATAAAAGGTATCGTATCTGGAGTACAGAAAATCCACATGTCATCATGGAAAGATTAGATGGAACCAATGCATCCACAACCAGTGACTATCTGCTGCAGAATTTGGTCTAGCGGCATTATTGGGTAATTTTTTTTTCGAAGATGAGCAACAAAAACGTCGTTACAGTGAATGGAGATCGCTAACGCGCTAAGATAAGCAAATTTTGTTTATCAAAATTGAAGAAGATAACATAGACGACATTTGGTTTCAAAAGAATGGCGCAATATACCACATAACCAACGTAACCATCGATCTACTGCGCACTGTTTCCGAAAATCGCATATTCAACCGAAATGCTGATGTTAATTGGCCACCTCAAAGCTGCAATTTGACTCCGTAGGACTTTTTTTGTTATAAACCGTTAAAGACGAGTGTTATGCTAACTATCCAGCATCGATGAGTTACATAAACATAAAATCGAAGTTGGCATTGATGATATAGAGTTCCAAACAAAAGAAAATGTACAAAAAATTGTATTGATCGTATGGAGTATTTTTTAGGCTAGCCATGGCTGTCATTTGAATGATGTTGTCTTCCATTCTTAAATGAAAATGTTAAATCTTTCTAATTAAATCATAACTTCGATAAAATATTTATTAGTTTCTTTTTTATAGCTGACTCCAATACCAAACCTTAAATGGTTCACCCCTTATATGGAGAAGATTTGTAATTTAATTTCCATAACTATAAAATAAAAACAGTAAATCGTCTATCACAAAGCGATAACATAGTAAACCGTTACTGTAAAATACTCATAATTTTCTTTTATTTTATTAGCTGACACCACGTTGCGGTGCTTTATGGTATTAGCTGTTGTTTGTTCAATTATTTAAATAAAGTCCCCTTCACCAGTCATGCATCGTCGGAGTGTTTAATTTGTATCCGTTGTAGCTTTGAGTCACTGCCAGTAAACGTCGAGAAACAAAAGCTTCGGACACAAACAGAATTAGTTACGTTGTACGTATATCATGGAAAAGCGGCAATTTGTAACGATCTAGATTACAAAATGTATTATAAATAACATATATTCATTTATAAGTAACATTTCTCACTAATAATATTATAAATCTGCTTACTTTTAGGTTGACTGGTAGAGAGAACCCTAATGCGTTAATTCCGCCTTTATACATTTTCGTACAACGAAGATTAAGTAGCAATAATATAATTTGGGAAATAAAACGGCCTCTACTCAGCAGGGATGTAATAAAATACACAAAACGGTAACTATAACTCTGATTTCAGTACGCGTCATGTACATTGATCCAATTAAATAAATTTAAATAGCTCCAACATAAACAGTATACCTTTACTTAATTATAAGTAAATTTACAACATTCAAAAAAATAGCACAAAGATAAACTAATATTTCATTATTGTGAAACTAGTAGTATGATTGGGAGTGAATTTCACAAGGTCGTAGGACTTCTTTTTTGGCTAGGCGTCTGTCCGGGTGGGAATCACACTTTTACCTATTTCTGCTGACAAGTAAAAGTGCTTGCACTGCTACACTCAAGTAAATTTAAAAAATATTTTATTAAGAAATTAGAGCGGACTTCTAAACGACTTAAACAATTTACACAGAATAGCTTCTGTAGTTAAACTTTTACCACCACGTTTTTTAACTTGCTTTCGTTTATAACTGTAATTAATTGATTTTAAATTAACTTCCCGATGAGCTAGAGATTTGAAAGTTTGAACATAGCTCAGAATCGGGCGATACTGTAAAAGTATGAAAAAGACAATAATTTGGAAAAACGTGGTATACTATTTTTTATACATTATATACATATATTCATCTATACACCAAGTATTAACACCGATATAAGATACAGTTATGTGAAAACTGGTCGTTCCCCCGCAACTTCGTCCGCGTGGAATTATTTACGCTTAGATTTCAGGGATATTAATTCTTTTGTGCGCAACCCTTACAATGCAACATCAGCTATCTGCCAGACAAAGTCCTGTTAATATCGGTTCATCCATTTTGGAGATTAACTGGAACAAACAAACAGACCGACAGAGATAAAGACAAAAATGAGAAAAATTGTTCTTTGTTATGAGTACTGTTTTATACTGTAATAAACTTTCATATACATTTATTAAAAAGCCATTATTTTGACATTACAAACAGGCACTTTATTTTTATTTATTTGTATATATTATTTCATTATTTTTATTTCTTTACCCTTTTATTTTCATTTAAAATTTTGTTGTGTTGTAAACCAGGTTGCTACCTTCCTGATATGATTAGTGAACAATTATATCAGGACATTCAAACATTAGAGCCGTGGTAGCTCGCTGTAAATATAACAGAACGCAAGTAACCCGGGTTCAAACCCCGCCGGCACCAATGAAATTGTTAATTGCAATTTTAAGTGCTGATTTACCACGTGCTCGGCGGTGAAGGAAAACATCGTGAGGAAACCTGCATGTCTGAGGAATAAGAAAAAAAATATTTCGAAGACAAGTGAATTTCGCCAACACGCATTGGGGCATCGCGGCGGACACTTCCTTGCCCTAAAACCCCCTCAGAAATGAGGGGGAGGCCTGTGCCCAGCAGTGGGACGTATATAGGCTGTAACTTTACTTTTTTACTTTATTCAAACATTAAACTACCTCCATTCCGTTACCGTTACAGCCTATTAAAGTCCACTGCTGAACATAGGTCTCACTCTTAGATCACCTCATATTTCGATATTTGCTATAGTTGCCACGCTAGGCAAGCGGGTTGCCAACTGCATTTTTTAAGTCTTTATTAGAAGATTCTGCTACCCACTCCTGGTTTGTTTACCTCTGTTGTCTCTAACGACACACACGGGATGATATAGGTGAGTGGATATTCTTACACCGCCACTACAACGGTACTTTGATACTACTGATCAGTAATCATATCTTTTTTAAGAACAATATTTATGGGTTAGAGGTACACTACAGATATATGTATTATTATCGGGATTACTTGCTGGAGCATCAGTGGGTCGGTTCGCACAGTTAGAATATGCTTCCTTTTGTCACCCTAAATGTATAAAATAACACTATATATTTCTTTTACTTTAACCTTCTGCGACTGAGGTGGTAGTCTATTGGAAACCACCTAACACAAAAAACGTTGCCAGATCGCAACGTGGCGCGATGTATCTCTGTCTCGCTCAGTACCTTCCCTTACCGGCTCGCTCTAATGGTCAGTGAGACGCGGGTGAATGCGCGGTGCACACGTGTGGAGTTTCAAGCTTCCGGTGTCCCACAGACGTAAGTACAGCAATTAACGTTGATTCTGATAGACGTCACCTCACTAATATGTTTTTAAACCCATAGTGTCTGTAAGTCGTTTTATCAGTAAAATATTAATACTACCATATTGTCTCTGAGACATAACCTCATGTTTAATTTACTAAAGATATTTTATTAATTATTTTTTTAGATGGAGACTCAAAGTAAAGACGGCAGGCCACCAAAACGGGTTAGCAGTAGAAGATATAGAATTAATGATTTGCAGATTGAGGAATGGCTTGAAGAATTAGAAGAAGAAAACGAGTTTAGCGATTTTGATGATTCGGTAGAAGATCCTAATTATGTGGAAGGGAATGTTCTCGAGCAGCAAGAGGTACTCGAAAAATTTGAGGAACAGAATGCCCAATCGAATGAAAGTAATTTCGACTCTGAAGAGGAAGAGCCCCTTAGCTCTTTAGCTTCTCGGGATCAAGGTGGTCAAAACTACATTGGGAAAAATGGATTTTTATGGTCTAAGAAGGAAATAGCGAGAACAAGCAGAACTCCTGCACATAATATTATTCATGTGAAATACATGTTCAACAGAGGAGCTTGTTTTCAGAAGTATTGACGACCTATGGTCAAAATTTTTTGACTCTCAAATGGTAGAGACAGTTGTATTATACACCAACCAAAAATTACTAACCTATCGAGAACGTTTTCGCAACACAAACAGACAGGAACTCAAAGATACAAATGAAACTGAAATGCGAAGTTTGTTTGGCCTTTTGTACTACAGCTCAGTATTTAAATGCAATGGCGCAGACGCTAACTATTTATTTGCTACAGATGGCACCGGGCATGAAATTTTCCGCTGTGTGATGTCTAAATACCGATTCTGTACATTAATCAACTGCTTGAGATTTGACAACGGAATGGATCGCCAAGAACGTTTGAAGTCCGATCGAATAGCAGCTATATCATGGTTATTTGATAAATTTATTTTAAACTCTCAACAAAACTACGTCCCGGGACCTAATACCTGTATTGACGAGATGCTTATACCGTTCAGGGGCAGATGCAAATTCGTTATATATATGCCTAACAAACCCGCTAAGTATGGGATAAAAATACTTATATTGTCTGATGCTGAAACGTACTATACATACAATGCATATACATACATTTACACGGGTAAAGGTTCTGATGGAGAAGGTCTGTCACTTGCTGAAAAAAATCTTGGAGTTCCTACTCAGTCCGTTCTTAGACTATCGAAACCAATCGAAAATAGCAACAGAAATATAACTGCCGACAATTGGTTCAGTTCCATTCAACTGATGCAGCTTTTAAAAGATAAGAAGTTGACTTACCTGGGAACTTTAAAGAAGAATAAAAGGGAGATTCCACCGGAGTTTTTGCCAGATAAAAGAAGAGAACCAGGCAGCTTTTTATATGGGTTTACTAAAGACTTTACCTTACTTTCCTACGTACCTAAGAAAAAGAAGGCCGTAATATTGATTTCATCATCTCACCATTCTGAAAGTACAGATGATAAGACAAAGAAGCCAACAATGATCGCTGATTACAACCATACAAAAGGTGGAGTCGACGAAATTGATAAAAAATGCTCGATCTACTCCAGCAGTCGCAAAACAAGTCAATGGCCTATGGCAATATTTTTCAGAATTTTGGATTTAGCTGGTACTAATGCATTTGTTTTATACCAAAATTGTTTAGGTGCCAAACTACGGAGAGGGGACTTTTTGCTACATTTAGCACGAGAATTGGTAATTCCGAGCTTAAAAGAACGCGTTTATAATGACAGACTGCCCAGAGAACTCCGTCTTACTATATCGCGAGTTTTAGGCAATGACTTGCCTCCCCCTAAGCCCGTGGCTGAGCTTCCAGGACCTGCTGGAAGGAAACTATGCAGCATATGTCCAAGAAAATTAAAAGGCAAACAAGATATAACTGCTGTTCACGCAAAAATCCAATTTGCCTGCAATGTTCCTCTCCACTTTGTCAAGACTGTAAACTTAATTTATAGATTTAGGGTCAAATTTGAGACTGATTTGTGCCTTATTCATCCATTTTATCTTGTTGTGTTTTTTGATTTAATTCTACAGGAGAACGTTTTAAAGATAAACATTAACAATTTTATAGAAGTATCATTATTTTGTTTTTTTTTTTTTAATATTTTTGTATGTTTAAGCGTAAAAATCATTAAAACATTATCTCATTAAATGATTGCAAGTACTCCGCCTTTTTTATTTTGAGAATACGTATTAATTTGTTTTTCATTATATATAAACCCGTTAATCATGAAATAAAACTAAAGTTTTATTACTTCCGAAAGTTTTGCACATAATCATGCTCTATAACGTGACGTCTGACAGACTACACCTCAGTCGAATGTTAATGACAAAGTCACCTCAGTTGCAGAAGGTTAAGGAAAGCTATTTATTTTAAAAATAAAAGCCACATATCTCAACAACTCAACAAAGAAATGACGTCGTTTTCAAGCGGATATTAATTCGCTCCCCAGAGAGGCGGGAAGCCGTTGTCAAATAATGATATCCCGAGTAACCATTAATTCTGATTGGTTTCTTTTTGTCGAGCTACGCTCTCGATTTAGACTTAATTCAAGCATAAAATTAATGGGCCGCAAAATTTTGTGTCTATATAGTTATTTTTATATAAAACTAGAAATCCGCCTTTCACCGCCCCGGCTTCACATGGGTGATTTCTGGATCTCGACAACGTCCTCGGTCCTTACTGGCGTTTGTATTTGAAGGAGAGCGGTATATTCCCAAGATTGTATTGTTGTATGCATCTATTTGTAAGCATGAAGCGTGTTCTAATTTAACTTCTTTAACCTTAGCATTTATAGCATTTTTGATATACACTACTACTCCATCACTCTGGTTGAGGTGACAGGTTGTATTAGTATAGTTAGTAATGCATGGAATTGTTTTGTTGAGGCTTAGTCGGCATTCAGTCAAAATCAAAATATCAGGTTTAAATTTTAAACAAGATAGTGTTAAATTTAGGTCATCTATGTTACTATACACACTTCTTATATTTTGAGATATTATGGTTAAATCATTATTTTTCACAGTAATGTAATTTGAGAGGTCTTCATTGTCGCACTCAATAGCGTTTGCAATTTCAATTTTATCCAATTCTTTCCAGGTAATTAAAGAACTGTCCATTTCAGAAGTAGGAGTATTAGCTGTCGTCTGTATATGTATACATATGTGTAAATACATAATATAATATGATAGATTTATAGATAAAAAGATATGTTTGCATGCTAATATGTAAATTGCTTTTCTCGTATACGGTTCTAGATTATTAGAATTTTTCATTTTAAGAGTGAGCTGTATACTAATGATAGTATTATATATGATCATTTTTTGTGATAGTGATAGGGTTTTAATAAAAGCAAGTGTAAGCTGTGTGTAAGAATGTATAAGTTGGGTGTAATACATATAAGAACTGATGATAAGTGAATTAATTACAATGCTTAGAAAAAACTTACGAACTAAAAGAAATATAGAAAAAAATAAAGTAATTTCATTATTTAGAAAAAATTGCGCGTTCTGTTCTAGTCGCGCGTTATGCAATAACTGGTGAACCTGGGCTTCGTCCTTTATGGTTATTATTTGAGATGTCTCATCTTTGCGAATATAAACTTTTCCGTAGGCAGTCCAACAAAATTTGTATTTTTTTGTTTTGACCAGATCTCGAGCTAGGAAGTGTAATCGTGTACTTTTAGCAGTTAGATGATCAGTTATGTATATGGGAGTATCTTCAGCCGTACGAAAGCCAAGGTGTTCTGCAATGAAAGCCAAGATTTATTGCAATAAAGTATTAACACAGACGGACTCCAAATCAGAAAAGAAAGAGAAAAGAAAAGTAACATGGTAGAGCCACGCTGAAGCTATATTATGATTTTATAAGCTATCTATACATTGGTCGGCTCGACCACGTTCTCACAGATTAACAGCGAAAAATTACGGCTTAATGCTGCTGATGTTCGTATGGTGCGTCTGGGGAACCGATGACATTTTTTACTGGAAACGAGGTATTCAATCTTAAGACTCAAGAGTGACTTCGCTTCTGAACTTTAATTACCGTTCGATAATGAGTTGAAGTGTGCTGTAAAGGCCTTTTTCAAGTCCCAGGATCAATTCAAGGGAACCAACTTACTTGCAAAACGCTATTCAAGTTCTATTAGCTTAAAATGCGATTAAGTTGCAAAATAAATACAATTTACTTATCCTACAGTTTTATTGCGTTACCAAAAACTTATAGAACAACCAAGTACAATATATTTATATTTTACTTAAAGGATAAGGAGGACAAACGAGCACACAATCCACCTGATGATAAATAGATGAAGTGTCTCAGAGACAGCTTTATCTATTCTTGATTTAGAATTAAAATGCAGAATGCTTTCTCATCCTTGAAGACTAAAATCGTAGTAGCATTTACCTGTTATTTCACGCTAGTATTCTCAATTGAGGGATATTTTACTAAAGTTTCAACCCGTGGTAGCTCAGCGATCGCTGTACATTATACAGTACACAGGTAACTTTGGATTCGAATCATGAAATTTTAAATTGCAATTTTAAGTGATTTTCCATGTGCCGTGGTTGGTGACATATAGTGATACAGTTGAAAATAAAGATAGACAGTGAAACCCTTCAACATCACTACAGTTAAAATTTCATAAAAGTAAGAAACTGCAAATATTACAGCCCTTGTGTTCCTTAAAGAATAACTTTAAATTCTCTGTTTCAATTACAGTTCCTTAATTTAATAAAAATGGTACAAAGCAGAAGTCTCGTAAGGAAAAGTTTGCCTTAATATTTATAGAGTATTGAATTTATGTCCTTCGGAACCAAGGAGTGTCTAAAACTCAGTTTTTCTTTTTTGTAGCTTGTTTAACTCCAAAATGTGCAAATTACACATTCTGGCGATACATCCTTTTATTTTATTTTGTATTATTTTATATTATTTTTAAAATTGTGCGTTATTTTGTAGAAATTAATTATAATAATTATGTACAAAATTATTTACAAAACTATTAACTAAGAAAAACTGCAAATTTAATAGCCGTTTTGTAGCTCCAATATACTTAAAAATAATGTTTTTTTTTTCGTCATTTTCTAAATTTCACTGTGCATTGTTATATGGAAATGGTGAAAAATAAGTCAATTTGTTTATTCAAATGTTGATTCTCGCTTAGCAGGCGAGTTGGGAACCACAGTTCTTGACTTTTAGTTGCAATTAGAAAGACGATTAGTAATCTAAAAAAAAAATATAGTCCAATACCGTATCGGTCATATTACCTGTACCTGAACCGTACCTGATAAGAATTATTTACTTAAATAATATAATAAATTTTATAAAGTACGACACTTAACGTTTATAGAAGCGAGAAGGCGAAATATCCCAGCAATAATGGTATGTATAACTTGATGATTTTTTTTAACTGCTCAGACATGTTGGTTCCACTATGATTATTTCCTTCAAACAATCACATGGTATGCAAGTACTACTGGCGAGTATACTCGTATCAATACTGCGGGTCCATTAGTGCAAAAAATTGCAACTATCAACACT